ATATACAGTTCGTTTCTTATGCGCACTAGTGCGTACGCATCCATCCTGTTTCAGCGATTTCAGGGTTTTTTTTGTAAAAATCCTCCGACAATTTCGTTGGAGCTCGTGACCAGCATCTCTCTTTCGGCTACGAAAAGCGGGGGCCTTTTTGAAAAATGTCACCGAGAGGAGTTAAAGGCTTCGTGACCATTCTCTCTCTCCCAATTCCAAAACACTTATCCCAAATTCCATCCCCATCGCCGACTTCCCCCAAATCCATCCCCGTCACCGCTAACCGAACCCTCCCCCAACTCCGGAGTCCCCGTCACCGCCGACCAACCTCCTCCATCAACGCAGTAAAGCCCTCGACTCCTCCCCCAACTCCGGCTCCCCGTCACCGCCGACCGACCTCCTTCATCATAACAGTCAAGCCACCGACTCCTCCCCCAACTCCGGCTCCAAGTCACCGCCGACCGACCTCCTCCATCAAGCCATCAAGCCACCGACCTCTCCCCCAACTCCGGCTCCAAGTCACCGCCGGTCATTAAAGGTGTGCATCTCTCTCTCTCTCTCTCTCTCTCTCTCTCTCTCTCTCTCTCTCTCTCTCTCTCTCTCTCTCTCTCTCTCTCTCTCTCTCTCTCTCTCTCTCTCTCTCTGCAATCTTCCTGCTTGTTTAAATGCCTCACTCGTTTAAATATACCATTCATCTTAATCAGGACCTCATGTTTCGATTCTTTATCCTCTGTAGTGTTTTGTCCTAGATTTTACATTTTCTGCATGCTGCCCATTTGCCTGAAGCTATATTGACACTCTCACTTTTGTACACAGATTTTGGCAGCGTTATAAATTGTTCGCCAAGGTGCAGATGTGATGCCCAGGAGCCAGCTTAATGACGTTTTGGATGCTGAACTAGGTCCTGATTGGTCGTCTAAGTTAAGGAGTTTTGATTATGAGCCTCTCGCTGCAGCAATTATTGAACAGGTATTTTGATTTTCCTGCTACTAAAACTCTTAATAGTCTTTATTGGTCTGTCTGCTGCAAATTGTAACTTGACTTGCACTGATGGTACTACTAGATTCATAAACAGCAATTATTGGCCAGGTATTTTGATTTTCCTGCTACTAAAACTCTTAATAGTCTCTATTGGTCTGTCTGCTGCAAATTGTAACTTGACTTGCACTGATGGTACTACTAGATTCATAAATGCTATCCGTATATATATGAAAGATTGTTGGGGCAACATGGTTGATTTCGAGTTCTTAAACTAAAATATTTTGGATCTGGTTAACAAATGAAGGAAGCCTTTGGTAGCATATAATGTGATGCTGGCTGAGTATGTTGGATGTGGGGAGATTGGCATTTTTCACTGTCATTGGAATTGATCCCATACTCCATGCTATTGAAGATATAAATACAATTATACTGATATGTAAAATAGGCATTTCTCTGAAGAAATTTTGTTTGGTTGTTTTCCTTTCAAAACTCGAAAGAATTTGATAGTATATTTGAATGTCAATCAAAGAAACTATAAATTTAATAGTGCTTCCAACTCATGAGATTTTGTGCATTACTGACTGTTATTGTTATATATAGAAAATGACGAACATAAATCATGGGTGAATCGGGGTTCTCACAACCTCTATAATTGTACCCATGAAAGCCTAGTGATATTGTAAACAGGATTGTATTGTAGAATCAAACAATGAAAGCCTAGTAGATAATGATATTGTTTATGAGTGAAATATATGATTTATTTTGTTAACTACTTTATATGTCTAATTCTTAATTGGTGTCAAGGTTGTAGTATGTTGTGATTTTTGTAGATAACAAGTCTATGTATTAACTGTTACTGATTTCTTGCTGCAGAGAAAAAGATTGATGATCTACATAATCGTTCTGGACCTTGCAGAGTAAAAGGCAAAAGTGTGGTTCGTTTTTGGGCTGGTGCAAGATTTCCTCAATTGAACAAATACCACTCTTTATTGCCCCACCAGAGGCACATGACTTGGTTGTTGTACGTGAAAAAGTGTTGTAGAAATGGCTAACTATTATAGCTTTTTTGTTGTCTTTTTGTTTAGCCATGAAAGAAATTATATGATATGATGTAACTTGATGTGCTGGAATGAAACAAGACTTTGTAAGTGAGGAAAATACTTTGATGGCCTATGGACATGTAAAGGCATTGTATTTTGTGAAGGCATTGTAAGTGAGGAAAATACTTTGATGGCCTATGTACTTTGATGTGCTGGAATGAAACAAGAAATTATGTTATGTATTTTGTGATCTGCAGTATACACCAATGACTTGCAGTATAATTTGGACTCATTCCCAGCTCTTCTGCAGTATACACCAATGACTTGCAGAACACCAAAATCTAACATATGCTATATCTGTACACCAAAATCTAACATATGCTATAATACAGATACACCAATGACTTGTTTCTTTACAATCTGTTGCAGTATAAGTAAAGATACACCAAAATATGCCACTTTATCAAACAAATCAGTTAAATAAATCCATTAATCTGTTAAATTGAAATCCATCAATCTGTCAAACATATGCCACTTTATCAACAAATCAGTTAAATAAATCAACAACAATCAACAATCTGTTCACACAATCAACAATCCGTTCTTCCTGCAAGCAAACCAGTTAAATAAATTCATCAACAAAGCTACAATTCTGAAGCACAAACTGAAGCCTGTCAAATGAAATTCAAACAAAAAAAAATTACAAGCTAGAATTTGACTCAAAAGGCAGAATTTGAGAAACATTCTCAAATTGACAAGTTATCATGATAACAAAAGATATATAGCTACAAATTTTGAAGGTCGTGACAAAGATGCTATAAAAAGAGCAGCCACAGCAACCAATAACAATGACAAAAGAAGAAGAAGAAAAGGTAATTATACATCTAATTTTGTTCTATTATTCTTTTTATCAAAGCAAGAAATTCAACAATTGAAATTGACTTTTATCAACTCATCAATAAACTTCCAGACTTTTATCAACAATTGAAATTGACTTTCAACAATTAAAAAAGCTTCAGTGTTTTGAACTGCCACTCTTTGATACGTTAAGTCTCCGTGGGAATGAGGAAAAGAAAGGAGAGGCTCTGCTGGTGAACTTACCAGACTAGAATACTCATTCGTGGGCCATTAATTAGCAGTAAAAAAAGTGCAACAAATTAAAGAAACAGAACAGCTAATTACAAATGAGGTCCTGATTAAGATGAATGGTATATTTAAACGAGTGAGGCATTTAAACAAGCAGGAAGATTGCAGAGAGAGAGAGAGAGAGAGAGAGAGAGAGAGAGATGCACACCTTTAATGACCGGCGGTGACTTGGAGCCGGAGTTGGGGGAGAGGTCGGTGGCTTGATGGCTTGATGGAGGAGGTCGGTCGGCGGTGACTTGGAGCCGGAGTTGGGGGAGAGGTCGGTGGCTTGATGGCTTGATGGAGGAGGTCGGTCGGCGGTGACTTGGAGCCGGAGTTGGGGGAGGAGTCGGTGGCTTGACTGTTATGATGAAGGAGGTCGGTCGGCGGTGACGGGGAGCCGGAGTTGGGGGAGGAGTCGAGGGCTTTACTGCGTTGATGGAGGAGGTCGGTCGGCGGTGACGGGGACTCCGGAGTTGGGGGAGGGTTCGGTTAGCGGTGACGGGGATGGATTTGGGGGAAGTCGGCGATGGGGACGGAATTTGGGATAAGTGTTTTGGAATTGGGAGAGAGAGAATGGTCACGAAGCCTTTAATTCCTCTTCGGTGACATTTTTCAAAAAGGCCCCCGCTTTTCGTAGTCGAAAGAGAGATGCTGGTCACGAGCACAAAGCTACAATTCTGAAGCACAAACTGAAGCCTGTCAAATGAAATTCAAACAAAAAAAAATTACAAGATAGAATTTGACTCAAAAGGCAGAATTTGAGAAACATTCTCAAATTGACAAGTTATCATGATAACAAAAGATATATAGCTACAAATTTTGAAGGTCGTGACAAAGATGCTATAAAAAGAGCAGCCACAGCAACCAATAACAATGACAAAAGAAGAAGAAGAAAAGGTAATTATACATCTAATTTTGTTCTATTATTCTTTTTATCAAAGCAAGAAATTCAACAATTGAAATTGACTTTTATCAACTCATCAATAAACTTCCAGACTTTTATCAACAATTGAAATTGACTTTCAACAATTAAAAAAGCTTCAGTGTTTTGAACTGCCACTCTTTGATACGTTAAGTCTCCGTGGGAATGAGGAAAAGAAAGGAGAGGCTCTGCTGGTGAACTTACCAGACTAGAATACTCATTCGTGGGCCATTAATTAGCAGTAAAAAAAGTGCAACAAATTAAAGAAACAGAACAGCTAATTACAAATGAGGTCCTGATTAAGATGAATGGTATATTTAAACGAGTGAGGCATTTAAACAAGCAGGAAGATTGCAGAGAGAGAGAGAGAGAGAGAGAGAGAGAGAGAGATGCACACCTTTAATGACCGGCGGTGACTTGGAGCCGGAGTTGGGGGAGAGGTCGGTGGCTTGATGGCTTGATGGAGGAGGTCGGTCGGCGGTGACTTGGAGCCGGAGTTGGGGGAGAGGTCGGTGGCTTGATGGCTTGATGGAGGAGGTCGGTCGGCGGTGACTTGGAGCCGGAGTTGGGGGAG